AAAAAAAAAAAGAATGTTATATGTCAATTATATCTCAGTTTAAAATAAATAAATAAATAAAGCGGTATCCGGGTGGCCCAATCGGTTAGCATTCAACTCTTGGTTTCCCCTCAGGTCGCGATCTCACGGTTTCCTGGGTTCGAGCCCCATGTTGGGCTCTGCACTTAGAGTACAGAGCCTGCTTGGGATTATCATCTTTCTCTGTTGCTCCCCAACTCACGCTGTCTCTGTCTCTCTCAAAATAAATAAATAAATAAATAAATAAATAAATAAATAAATAAATAAATAAAAATGGAGGGATTTTTTTTTTCCAGGAGTGTACTACATCATCGTGAAGGAGGTACAGGCCAAGAGTGTTCCCTGCCTAAAACTATGTATAAAAGACCAATACCTCAATATTCATTGTCTCCAATGGGGCGCCTGGGTGGCTCAGTCAGTTAAGCGTCCTACTCCTAATTTCGGCTTAGGTCATGATCACACAGTTTGAGAGGTCGAGACCTGAGTCGGGCTCTGCCATGACAGCACAGAGCCTGCTTGGGATTCTCTCTCTCTCACTCTCTCTCTCTCACTCTCTCTCTCTGCCCCTCCCCCACTCACACATGCAGTCTTTCTCTCTCTGTGTCTCTCTCTCTCTCAAAATAAATTAACTTAAAAAAAGATTTTTAAAAAATATTCAATGTCTTCAAGAAGTTTGTCAATAATTATAAGGTGTGGGTGGTATCATTCTTTTGCAAACACCTGATATATATTCTCTCATTAACTTTTCTTTACTACCTGAACAAGGCGGGCAACGTTATCCCCATTCCAGGTCAGGGTGACAGTACAACTTACCCATCCCCACATAGTTGAGAAAGGGTGAAACTTGACCCCAGGGTGTATTTTTAAATTAAAATAATTATTCTGTTTTTTGAGTGTTGAGACTCACCAAACATTGCACACCCATTTTCTCTTATCTGTACAGTTATGTACACAATAGGTTATCACCCTTGATTTACAGTTGAGGGATGGAAGCTCCGAGAGGGAACATGAGTCACCCATTGGAGCAGCAGTGGGGGTGGGGGGCAAGGATATGGGAGGATGTGGGTGTGCTCCCCAGAATGAAGTCCTTGACCAGCTAGAAAGCTGACTACAGCATTGTGCTGGACTAGGAACCATGGAGCCAAAGTCTAGGTCGTGCCCATTCCGTCTTCAAGCAAATCCTTTTCAATCCAGAGCCTTTGTTTCCTCCTCTGTTAAATAAATGTACAAACCTGGGGTTTCAGCTTCTAAGTCCAGGGCTCTCTTTCCCAATGCATCTCAGTGTCCACCTAGAAATCTGTTTCTACAACCAAAATGTTTGCAAGCGTTCTCCTTCACTTCATCATCGTGTAGCTCTCTGTTAAACAGAGCTCCAGTTTCAAAAGAAACAAGAAGGGGCAGGAGTATCTCTTGGATTGTTAGGACAAAAAGAAATTCTACATCACGTCATTCAGGGGAAAAAATTCTGAATTTTTCAAGAAAGCACTTCGTCTTTCCGCTTCCCATTGTGAGGAGACTTCATGCTTAAAAGGAGGTCCCGTGGCTAGGACGGACCAGTGTCTCATGCTGGAGGCCTCGATGGCCAACTAGGTGCAGTGGCCACTGGAACACTATGACTCAACACTTGTTTTTATTCCAATTTGTGAGAAGCATTTTGCTATGACATCTCTTGATAAGGGCTGTACTGAGAACATCCCCGTTCTGCCAGACTTAGACTAGGGAGTGGCTTGAAAAATATAACTGTATAAATAAACGGATTTCTGGTCAGAAGAGAAGTCTTTCTTTCATAAGATTACCCTGATTTAAAATTCATGAACCAATGTTTCTCAAAGTATGATCTCTACATCATTATGCCAAGCGTCGCATGGGGTACTAGTTTAAAATGCAGATCTCTTAGTCCCCCTGCAGTCCTATTGAATCAGAATGCCTCAGGTGGAGCCCCAGAATCTGCATTCTGCATTTTAACAGGCTCCCCAGGTGACGGGTATGCACTCTGAAGTTTGTGAACCTCCATTATAAACAAAACAAACCACTCCCATATCTATGGTGCCCCCTCGAAACAAGGACTTTGGCCAGCTAAAATAATAAAATAAAGTTTGTATTTATCCCAGGACGCAGAATTGCTCCCCAAGGAAAGCAGTTGGCAGATATTCCTGCTGACGGGTGCCGGCCATGGCTACAGCAGTTATTTCCAGGCGATGGACAATCCTTCCAGCCCAAATGAAACTTAAGCTTAAAATAACAATGATAGTTTTGTGCAATAGCAATGAACCTTTTAATTTATCATGCTCCAAAATCATATGGACTGCCTAACACCATCAGGTCCAATAGTGCCATCCAGAAGCAAGCTGGGCTTTGATCTGACCTCATATGTCATGTCTGGGAGAGTCAGAATAATATCACGGGGCTGGCTTCCATTTTGCTTTTTCTGAACACTTTCTGACTGACTTCACTTCTAAGCATAGATGGTATATATACTGCTAACCCCATCCTTTCCTATTCAGTTGTTTTAGATCCTTCTCCTTCAAGTGCTTTTCCAAATTCAGTCCTGGTGAGCATGCAAGGGTTTTAGAGAACACACGGCCCTTCAGAGCCTAAAGCAACTCAGAAAAACAATAATTCATGTCTCCAGATTCCAGAAGAAAAAAAAATCCCAGCGAGGTAAACATATTTGTAAATAAATATAAAGCACATATCAGCATTTATCGGTTTGATTCAGAACAAAGCATGATTACATATTCACTGTAGACACTGGTGGATTCTGGCTTCTTCTTAGTTAGGGGCTGAGGTCAAGGACACCTGGGAGTCCCTTTTCCCTCAGCTCACCCTTCTGCTTTCTGTCTGACCCACAAAGGGCCAGAAGCACACTTTCTCTGCATAGAAGGAAAACCTACTGGGGCATTTCTTCTTTACAACCAAATGCAAAGCTGCCTGCTGTGTAAATAGATGGAACTAAGAGACTAAGTGACACCATTCTCAATGCAAAAGACGTTAACCCTAAGTTTTCACAGCAATGCTCTGGAATTCTCAAAGGCTAAAAGAAACTCACAAAGCCCTCTGCAAAAGTAGAGCAACCTTGTTCTACCAGTGAGCTCAGATTCTGTACACTTTACTTCAATCACTGACTGCAGAGGGCGTGTAGCAGCAGCAGGCAAGCAAGGATCCAGGTGGAAGGCGAAATGGTGTTGGGTCAAGTGGATTTGACTTATCAAGAGATATTGGCCCAATATGGTTGTGGATTTCCTGATTTGAATGGTACTCTTTATCTACTGTTAATAGCAAGAGACTCCCTTTTAAAGGTAATTGCTACATTTCTCACTTGTTCATGGGGCTTGCACAGTTTGATATTTCTGACTCTCTCATTTTTCATACAAATGGAAATCCCAGCAGTGTGCGCTCAGAGGTGTCTCATATCAGCCCTTCTTGTTTCTCCCCCTGTTTCTTCGATGGCCATTTGCTCCCTTTGCGGTACTCGCTGTCACACAAATGGTCCCAATTACCTAGAAAAGAGCAGGCTGTAACCTGTCGTCTTCCAGGTTTTCCGACCATATTGCCCCTACCACATCGTTTTCTCTTTCTGCTGAAAAACTTCCTGCCAAATTTCAAGGGGACAGGTAAAGTAAGGGGTTCTGGCCTTACTGCCTCTGGCAGAGGCAGGGGCATGCTAGCAAAGCATGAGGAAGAGAGAGGACAGGTACTGTGGTGTATTCTTACAAGTGGCTGTGAGAGTAAATCTTTAATGTTCACACCATACCGCCACCACCACCAAAATGGCAGTGATGTGAAGGATGTATTAACCAGCCCTACTGTGGTAAATATGTCGCAATATATACATGTATCAAATCATCACGTCATTTATCTTAAGCTTATACAATGTTATATGTCAATCATATTTGTCAATCATATTTCAATAAAGCTGGGAAAATATAAAGAGGGGTGAAGTAATTCATTTCCACCCCCGTTCTGCACTCCAGTGAAGCTGCCCAAGGTGCATTTACACGGGCTCTCTTCT